GCGAGGCCGCGTCCCGCCTTCCTGCCGTCGGGCCCCAGCGGAGGGCCCAGTCCCTCCCGCCCCGCCACTCGCGCCCCGCCACGCGCCTTCACGAAGTTTCCTCCCTCCGGGGCCCGCGAACCGGACTCACTAGCTGGCCTGTACGCAGCACCTTCTGGAGGGGATCAGTTCCGCGGCCTGTGGGGCTCTGCCGCCCCTGGTTGCCTACACGGTGAGCGCCCCCACGCCACGCGTGACTCACAATGCCCTCCGGCCTCAGAATGCCTGCGCGAACAATGCTGCCCTGACGTGGAGCGCCCCAGACGCCACAATGGCCCAACCAATCAACGCCTCCTCAACGCATGTCCCTGGGCGCACCCCCTGGGAACTTGGCTGACTCTAGTGCGCCTGTGCAAACCCCCCCATCCCGCCACCAGAAGCCCATGAGTGCATGTGAAGCCCCTCCCCTTAGGCCGCACTTGACCATGACTGACCCTAATGCCACATGTGGCGGCTCTGGACCTGTGTCCCTCCTGCAGTCCCAGCGCCATCACTGGGATTGGGTGGCAGGGGGGACAATTCCCAGGGATTCCGCTGGGCCCCTGCTCTGACTGATCACACAGGCACCAACACGGGTGGGTGGGCCGCCCATGGGTGGGCCTCCCAGTGTCCTCAGTGTCCTCCCAGTGTCCCATGTGAGCTTCATTTCCCGCTGTGCCCACGTGCACATGAAGGTACCCAGACAGTTGGCATTGGGGGTGGTTTACAGCATCGTTATCCTTAACACCCCCCCCCCAATTGTTCACACTGCCTTTATGGGACATCTGTAAGGTACAAGTCCCAGTGGGGATGGCCACACTGCCTCCATTTTCCCGCTTTGTAATCACAAGAACTTCAGCAGGATCAGGGCATCAAATCCTGTCTGCTCTCCTCTAAAAATAGACCCTAAATCAGGGCCTCCCTGGTGGCCCTAGGGTTGTCTCAGGGCTCTCAAGCTATTGGCAGCCACTGTGGCCCAAGTTTGAGCCACGCCAGGGAGTG